AGGCTCTCTAAATTGCCCTTTCATGGCCCATTATGATAATGAGAAAAGGAGGTGAAGGAACCAACTGAAAACAGAATTTCTTGGAATGGATTCTCTTTGTTATATACACATTGTGGGGTTAAGGAAGTTGGAAGGAAATGTTTGTATAGTGGCAGGAAATATTAAAGTACCACACAGATGCCTCTGTAATTTTCTGCAGATTTGACAACTTGTTCCTGCAGACCACACTGAAATTTGGAGATAAATACAGCTATTTACATTTAGCAAAAAAACCCTACTCAATTTTTTTATAATCATGAAAATCTACACATTGGGAGAAGCTGTGATAAGATACAGCATAAAAACGGCTTGAATTTCTGAAATAAGGAGCCTGTTACAAGATTATCAAGATGATTATCCTAACATACATAATATGGTGCTTGTTGTTTTAGACGTGCAACAGAAAAATGTACAGTTAAATAGATTATTCAGGATGATTTTTCCAGGAGAATCACTGTTATTCTCCTCTAGGACATTCTCTAGTAAACACTAATTAACATTTTAGGTAGCCCATCATAGATGAGTAAGTGGACTCTTTAATAAATAAACTTTTATAGTGTTACATCCTATTACTATTGAAATATTTTTTCTTAAGAATGAACTGAAATAATGTAAATTTTCTTAATTGACTGAAGTTTTCATTAAAAAAAAATCTTGTAAATGAACTTGATTTGTTGAAATCGAGAGTGCTTTCTTAAGGAGGACTGGCAAAAATTTGACCAAAGATTTTATACAAAACATGAAATTTCTCCAAGTTTGTCATTAGCTGAAGTGTGTTTCTTATTGACAGCATTTCAGCTGGTTGTTTGTAATGGACTGTAAAGGCATATTAAACCAGAACATGAAAAATTTATTTCGTAACTAATCTTTAAAATGAAGAGGGAAGAAATGGAATATCACTGTGACACAGGAAGTGTAACATGCACTACATCTAAGGCATTTTTTTAACTCACTCTTTGTCGTGAGCAAGAGTTTTACTTTGTCATTCAGAAATGGCCATTGGGTGGATGGTACAAAGGCTCTTGGTGTAAAAGGTGGACAAAAAGGTGTATTTTCTTATATGATTGAAATGTCTGCTTTGAATCAATAATGCTTATAAGTCTAAATTAAAATGTAGTTTGGGTAGGAAATGCAGAAAGTTTTATTAACCTGAAATAAATTACCCCAGCTAAGCTATAGCACTGGCTAATGTGGTAGACTATGCAAAAAGGATTTTTTTTAGCCATGTTTATATATTTTAGGCATTTTTATATTTTTTAATAAGATGCTTGGAAATTATCTTTTTTCTGGCAAGGTAAAATTGAAGGAATTAAGTAAAATAACAACAGTGTAAGAACATTCCTTTAAAAGAAGAAACTGGAGTGTCAGGGCTTTTCTGTTCCCAGAAGGAATGTTATTGTAGTAACACATTCCAGAGAAAGTTTGATGCATTTTAATGAGTAAGGTATTTATCCTACTTTTATTGTGGCATAGATCTTTTTCCATTCTGTTCACTTTATGAACTTCTGGCATCCATCTGTTATGGTTCCAGTTCATAGTTGTTGTCAGATTGTTTGGACAAACTGTCAGCGATTTTCTAAGTTAATGACATTTATCACTGGTTCTCCTGGGAAATGAACATTTGTTGACCATGACTCTTCTGACATTACAAAGGCAATTATTTTCAGTGGTATGGTAGCTCTTGTGATAAGAACTCTTAGCATCACAGGGCTACAGTTGCATCTTTCTACTACTCCTGTTGTAAATAATTGAAAGAAAAGTCTGACAGTGGATGAATGGCTCCCTCAGACAGGAAATCATACAAAGGATTAATGTTCTGGTTCTGGCAGGCAGGATTATAGATAAGCACTTGAGACCAGTTTTCCTTTAGGTAGGATCAATGCTCTAGTGGAGAAAACAAACAGAGAAGCACAAATAGCTGCATCAAAAGTGTACAAAACATTAGATTTCAGAAATTACTCTCTGGGGCAGATGGCCTGATAGCTGACCATGGGCCATTGTATAAGGGAGAAAAATTACCAGATATTCTGCACTTTTGTTCAATTAATTTAACGAACTCTGTTCAGCAGACTTGTTATAAGACTCAGTCATTTGGCTCACAGAGAATTAACAGATGTAGTGTTTATGCTATTCTTTTTTTGTTTTCTAATTTGTTAGAAATAATCTAGATTTTATCTGAAAACTAATTTAAGCTCAGTGATAAGTGTTCCTCTGCTTGTTAAAATTTCCCATCTGTACGAGAAAGATAAGAAATTGAAAATTTCAAGAAGGGGAAAGTCCTTTATCTTAAACCTTCCTTTGATTACTGTCTGTTCTGTTTCCAGTCTAACTTCTGATGTTAAGTTCAAGCAGTCTTCTGACTCTCCTGAAGCTGTAAGCCACATTTTCAGCCCTTCTGTGACATCTTCCCCGTAATTCTGCTTTTCTGTGTCACTGAGATTTAAAACCTGACATAAGGGAACAAAAGAATCAGAAGAAACATGACCTAGTGCAAAAGATAGAATTTCTGGCTTGAGCAACAGCTTGTAGAAAATCTTGCCTCAGCAAGTCAACCAGTAAAGACCAGTTATCAAAGTCTAATACTGTTGTCTAAACCACCTCAACAGAGGTGACTGCACTGGCCCATGAGGCAGCAGTACAGTCCTTCATGGGTTGTTTCAATCAGTTGAAACTAGAGCTTCACAGAAATTAGGGAGTGTAGCTTTTGACTACAGCTGAAAAAATTCATATCTGCTTCAGCACTGGGAATTTTCCATCACACCCGCTCTGTTCAGATATATTTTGTTTATCTAGATGGCCTGACTATGTGTCCTTTATACGCCAGTGTATTTTCTAAACAAAGCTGGGAGCATACAAACGTATTTTTCATACAAAGCTGGGTTTTGGGGAGATAAAAATACCTGCACATCTGCCATATTATATTGCTAGTTACAAGGACGTAAACCAAGAGAAAGTCACAGTAACTAATGGCATGGTTCCAAGGTTTATCAGTATGAAAGAGACATTAATTAAGTTTAAAAAGTAATTATTTCCTCTTTCCCATGGCAGCTGCTTCACCCCATGTGCTCTTTTTTGCTTGATTGTATACAAAACATAAAAAGTGAACAACAAAGTTAAGTGAGGTGTTTTCTAGAGTTGTAGCAGCTTGTTATTTGATATTCATTGTAATCCAGATTCACTGAGGGAAACATTTATTTTGGCTACTCTAAGATGATGTTGGTGACAGATTTCTACTTTGTCAAACTATAGTTATTTCTATGATGGTTTTAACACACAAATGATTATTATTTCCATTTTTAAAAGAGTGTTTCTGTCCCTACTGAAGTGATTCTCTAAGTACACTTTATTAGCTAAGCACTGGAAATTTGAGAGGTATTCAATCTCTCTTTATGTCAGTGGGTAGACCAAAACAAAAGTATGCACAATCATCAACTTAGCTAGATACCTTGTTCAAATACTGCATGAAACAAAAGAGGGGAAAAAAGTCAGCTAAAGACCTTCATCTGTGCCTTGTGTAATTAAGCTAGAAAGCGATATTGTCTTTTTAAAAACCTTTTACATGGACTGGAGAAAAGCACAGCTTTGTAAACCAGGCCATTGTATACATGGAATTACGTGTCATTTAAAGTATGAAGGTGTTTAGCTTCCTAGCATCTTTTCCCTTGCAACAAGTCTTACTGATTTTGGACATTTACAAGTGCAAAAATCTGTCAAGGAGCAGTATTATTCTGCGAGTTTCTATTGGTGCCTACAGTTTGCAAAGTATTTTCTGAACTTTGTGGATAAAAGAAAACAAGATTACCCTAGAGCTGAAATTTGTTAAAATGCACTAGAATATTCAGTCAGGATTCAACTTGTTCTTTGTGCGCTGAACTATTAAAAGTCAAAAAGTAAATCCTTTAACTGGTTTGAAAGAAGAGCAAATATTACCCACTTTTATTTTTTTAGTGTAACATTATAACGATGGTTCTTTGACTGAAGAAAGTCTGTTACTGATTGAAATTCTACTGGCTTGAAATTTTCCTGTTAGCAATCTGAATGTCTGTAGAGTGCTTAATACTCTTGCTTTTCAAATATTTAATATCTTTTTCTTAGTGGATAGTGTGGGAATTATTTAGAAATGTGTTTTTTAACAATCTAAATTTCACATGATAGGTGATTTTCAAGTCCCTGGAAAAATAATGGCTTGAATAAACAGTCTTTCTTATTTACGGTCTCTGAAGTTTCACATATACTGGTTTATTAGTGACCAAAAATCCTCAGCAGAGGTGTTATTTTTCTGATTGGTGTAAACTCTCAGGCCCTATGGTTTCTGCTCTTTTCCCCTTGCCTCAGCTTCATGTAAAGGCTGAGAATGTATAGATATGTAAGTTTTTCACACATTCAGAAAGATTTCAGAAATAGCAATTACATGACTTGAAAATGTATTCTTCTCATGGGTCTTTGCTCTCCAGAGCAAAAGATACATTGCCAACACCAGAAGCACTAGAAAAGAATGTAGAAGAATTCTCAGTGTTAAAAGGTTGTTTCAAACCTGAAAAGAATGAGCAGAATGTAAATATCCAAATGAATATCTAGATGAATAATTAATTTGAGGAATCCTAAGAAGTTGGATTTTTTACTATTACCTCTGAAAAGAATCCATACTTTAGGGACTGTGGAGTGCATGAGGATTTTTTTAAGGTCACAAAGTATATGCTTATCCATAGATTATATCAAGTATAGAAAAGGGGATGTTCAAAATGCTATTAGGACTATAAAATAAAGCAGCTGCATGAAAAGGAAACAAAAGTTTCTAATAATATATAGCCTAAACCAATGTAGCTGGTATTTGAGCTGTAGCAAGCCTTCACAAAGAAAGTCTTTACATGCAATCAAAAAAAGATGTAAAATCTGTTTGATAAGTCAGGTAGGCTCTTTTTATCTATCTTCTTCAGTACTTTTTCTTTTCCATCCAAAAGCATCATCATGTGATCAAGAACTTCAGTCAGCCCTGGAGGAAGCAAAGCAGCCCCAGAAAGACAATGTGTTCATACCAGAGTGTGCTCAGGGCGGCCTCTACAAACCAGTGCAGTGCCATCCTTCCACAGGCTACTGCTGGTGTGTTCTGGTGGATACAGGACGTCCCATCCCCGGTACATCAACCAGGTAAGGGAGTACACGTTCAGTTCTCAAAAGCTATGATTAGAATATGTCCTAGTGTCCATGGACTATCGTGTAGATTTCTATTGCTGGTGGAATTATGTCATATAGGGTTTTTCCACTATAAAGTGAAATATTTTGCAACATCACAAATTAGGGCCAGATGGCCATGGACCCTTTCACTTCAATGGCAGAGGCAGTTTGTAATCCTAGTCCTCTACCTTACTCCTTTTTTGTGCTGGGAATCCAAGGCTTGAAGAATATAATGAATAATCCCAGAGGAAGTCTCATGCTCCTTATCCTGAATATAAAAGCGGCAAGTGAGATGGTCTATGACACAAACCATGTCCAACCTCAGAAAAGCTTAGTTATTTTGTTATTTTTCCAGCAACCTCCTCAACTATTTCATATGATGGGCTTTGAATGGAGCAACTCCTCGAGAACCCCTAGCAAGGAAATATCATTTTAGTGTGTTATTAATAGAAGGTTGGAGTTCAGTCATCTCAGCTAAGCCGGATACATGGTAAATTATTGTAAACCACATAGCACAGATGTAGGCAAAGCACATATCAGGTTCCAAAGGATGTTATTTAGGTTGGTTATTGAGGTTTGGCCCTTGTAGGAATGCTATAGAAGCTCATATGGAGCTGGCAGGCAGTATATATATATCTTGATACAGTCATAACTCTTTTATAACTGAAGCAAAATCTTTTTTATCATTTGCATAAGATTTGTGAAGCTTGCTGTAAGAAAGCCACTTGCTGTAAAATAGTGTGTTCTTGGGGAGGATTTTTCATGTATTCTTCAAGTGCTGAGTTATTGCTAGCTGTTTATACCATAGTTAGACTATGCCAATTACAGTGCCATCTGAAGTGGACTTGATGATCTTAGAGGACTTTTACAACCTCAAGGTTTCTTTGATTTTATCACTTAAAATTGCTGTTGATCAACTGTTTCTGACAAGTTGAGATAAATTGTCAAAACATAATAGTCTAAATTTGATCCTAAAACTGTAGGATCACTATACATATTGTATGAGGATCTAAAGTTCTAGAGATTCTAGATACTCTCTTTTACACTCTTTCTCTGTTCTCCACTCCTAGGTTTGTTCACCGTTTCTTCTTTTTAGTGCTAATCCTTCTTTGAATTATTATCTTAAATAATTTTATTTCCTATCCCATAATTTGATTCCAAATCATCTTTTTGTGTTCATCAAGCAATGGACCTTCTGCTGTGGTTCTGTTTCTGCTGGGTTTCGGGTTTTGGTGCGGTCTTCTTTTTATGTTTGTTTTTGTTTTGGTTTGGGTTTTCTTCTTGTGGGTTTTTGGTTTGGGGTTTTTTTGGGGTCGGGTTTATGGTGTTGCTTCTTTTTATTTTTTCTCCTTTTTTGTTTTTGTTTTTTTTTGGGGGGTGTTTTAGTTCTTATTGATATAATTTTATTATAGTCACAGAATAGCTGAGATTGATAGGTACCTCTAGAGGTTTTCTGATCCAATCCCCCTACTCAAAGCAAGATCATCTAAAGTGGATTGCTGAGGACTATGTCCAGTTTATTCTGAGAATTGCTAAGAATGAGGAATCCATAGCCTCTCTAAGCAGCCCGTCTTAATGTTTGATCACCATCATAGTTAAAAAAAAGTTTTTTCTTACCTTTAAATGAATTTTTCAGTATTTTTTGTGCCCATTGCCTTTTATTCTGCCAATGGACATTTGCAAGATTATAACTTTCCTTTCATTATTTTCCTCTCTTTGGATACTTAGAGACAACATTAAGATCTCCTGTGAGCCTTCTCTTCTCCAGGGTGAACATTGTCAGCATTCTTTTCTTACTATATCAAATTCTCCAGTCCCCTAATCATATTCATGGTCTTTTGCTAGACTCAGTATGCCCATGTCCCTGTTGGTAGGGGAGCTCAGATCTGGGCATAATGCAGATAAATCTCATTCTCCCATTGTGAATGAGAGGTCAAGGATCTTCCCCCTTGACCTTAGAGCAGTACTTTTTCTAATGCAACCCTGAAGGCTATTGCCCTTCTTTACTGCCTTGTACTCAGCATCCATCAGAAATCCCAGGTTCTTGCTTCAAAGTTGTTTTCCAGATGGTTGGCCCCATACTGTACTGACGCAGGGAGTTAATTATGCCAGGGGCAAGAATTTGCAATTTTTTTTAACTTCATGAGGCTCCTGCCAGCCCATTTCTGCAGCCTGTTGAAGTTCCTCTAAATGGCAGCACAACCATCTTGTGTATCAGACACTTCCTCCCAATTTTGTATCCTCGGCAGTTGTTGTAAAGTTGTTCCATGTCGCAGTGTCCTGGTCATTAAGGAAGAGGTTAAACAATATTTTTTAACAATAAACAAGCTGGTGACTGGCTTCCAGCTGAAATGTTTCTGCTTATCCCAATTATTTGAAACTGGCTGTTCAGCCAGTTTTCAACACACCTCACTGCTCATTTATCTCGCAGATACTTAATCGGTTTCTCTATGAGAATGTGCTCAGAGTGTCAAAAGCCTAGCTAAAATTAAGATAATATCTGCCCATCTCACCTTATCCAATGAGCAAGTTACAGAATCACAGGAAGCTGCAGCACTGGCAAAGTATGATTTGCTCTTCATAATTCCATCCTGACTACTCTCAATCACCTTCTTTATATGTTTTGAAATAGCTTATAGGAGGATTTGCTTCATCACCTTCTCAGAAACTGAGGTAAGGCTTATTTGGCTCTTCCTTGCCCTTCTTGAATACATAAGTGACATTTTCTTTCTTCCAGTCCTCAGGACCCTTCCCCAGCCAGTACTTTTCAGATATAATAGAGTGGCCCACAAATCAGCCAGCTTCCTCAGCAGGTCCCATGGAGTTATGTATGTCCAATTTGTTCAAACAATCCCCAAATTGATCCTTCATGACCCAGGATACGTCTTCTTTGCTCTAGACTTTACTGCTGCCCTCAAGAACCTGGAATTCCTTGGAGGCTAGTCTTGCAAGTAAAGACTGGGGAGGATGTGCCATTGAGTATTTCTGCTTTCTCTCTGTTCTTTGTCACAAGGTCTCTTATCCCACCCAGAAGGAGGCTCACACTTCCCTTGTCTTCTTTTTGCTGCTGATACACAAGTAGGAAGTTCTTCTTGTTGTCTTCATTTTCCTTACCAGATTCCTAACCCCATCCCTGTGCACTGGAACAGTGTCTGTTTATTCCTCCTGTATCAGCTTACCAATTGTATGCTTCTTTTTTAAATGGGAATTTTATTAGGTGTACTTTCTTCATCTATGCAGGCTTCCTGCCACATCCTGCACATCAGGATGAACTATTTGTGAAACTGGAGGTGATGATCCTTAAAAGTCAACCACTTTGCTTTCCTATGCAAATGTATAGTGTTCATGCAATATGTGCCATTTTGGCTCCTGCTGTCACAGGAGTTCTAGCCCTTCCCAAGCCTTTGATGAATCACCTATGGACCTAGACTCAGTCTCTGTCTCTTTTTTTCCCTGTTTGGTCTGCTGGGCTCTTGTTTTTGGCACCTACACAGTCACTCAGCTGTGGGAGAAGAGGCGACAGGAAGACCTTTCACTGTGCTGCATGTCTCAAGGTTGAAAAGCTGGAAAATTGGATTCAATCTTTCCATGCATATGGTTTAGACATAAAAGTACTCTGTCTGATGACTGATACTAAAAAGATCAGCTGCTATGTTCTTGACCATGTCTAATTTTTCAGCTGTGTTAGACTTAAGGTCAGTCCTTAGTGAAGCTCTGCGGAAGTAAAATTTAGTAATATCCCCAAAGAGCACATTTCTGAGCACAGATGGGTAAGGAGAGTACTCAGCTTTAGGAATTTCATACTAAATAAAAAATGACTGGTGTATTTAGGAATCTACAGTCTTGGTAAACAAGCAGGTAGGATTACTGCCTGGAGTTTAAGAGGAATGTCTAGACCTCATTTCTGAGAAATATTTAGATGGGCTAGAATCCCATTAATTATTTATTGATTTTATTTTTTTCTGTATTGATAAAACTAAACGTTTTTTTTCCTCAGGGAGAGGGAACTAAGTGGGGATCAGAATATAATGAGGAATATACACTTGTCTTTTTGTAATTCTTATAGAATGGAAAGTAGGAATATGTGAGTTCTTCCTAGATTAAAGAGCCAGGGGCTTGTGCAAAATTTGGTGTACTGTCTTTCAGTTTTCCACTGCAAAATACAAATTAAAGGACCTTAAAACTCTACCTCAGGAACTGATAACATTAGTACTCCTGGTAGGAAGATGGGTGCATAGCATACTGAAATCTCTGTTCTGCAAAAAAGGATCAAATTGCTAAGTGACAGCACTGAAATCTTAGACAGATCCAAGAAGCTATTTCCAGAACAGCTCAACATTCTGCTCGTTATTTGTTTTGAGTGTATTCATGAGGATGATATTTGTCATATTATAAAGTTCTGAACACCTCAATAAATGGTAGTCACATTAAATAAGACCATCAAAATGGAGGGAAGTTATTAACACTCATTTACCTTCTAATACATTGTCATTTGAAAAAAAGAAAATCATTTGTCAGTGAAGGTATTTCAGAAAAAAATACACTTGTTCTAGAGTTAAAATAAAGGTGTGTCAATGAAGAACCCCTCTAGGATATTTAAGACAGTAAATCAAAAGAAATAGGTAAAGTTGTGGAATAAATCTGGATTAAAAGGAGGTAATGCATTTAAAGGCTAAAAACAACCATTCCCACAAAAGTGTCAGTGTGGTCCTCACCAGTTGGCTCCCAACGCCTCTCGGAAATCACAGCATGACCCTCAGCTGTGTTCTCACATGTAAGCTTTTTGGCAACTAGGATCTCGTGCAGAGTAAACCCCAAACTTGCACAAGATCCTCTAAACTTAAAAAGAAACATAAATCATCTGTTTCATGAGTCTGCCCACACTGTAGAATCCCTGTGGAAGCCTCTATCCTCTATTGCTTTGTACACCTCAGTAAATCTCAGTGCTTCCCAGTAGACTGATAAGAGATATAAAGCAGTCTTCCTAAGCCCTTGCCAATTCTAGATATACATTTACTGCTAGGGATTCTTTCCCCTTTTAAATTCAAAAGAGTAACTTGGGATGTCTTTTAACTACACTGTTTTTAACCTGACAGTGCTCCATTCTGACATGCTATTCCATTCCCACTCTTTATCCATGAAAACTGAAGCAAGTCTGTTTTTCTTATCAGTTTTCACGATGGCTTTTCCTGTATAGTAAATTTTAAATTACTTGTTTTCTTTCTTTATTTGCTTTAAAGAGTTAAATGTATATTTTTCACATTGCAGCATTTTAACACCTATTGGGCTTTTATAGATTTAGTTTGTATGTGATAAACTATGTGTGTATTTAACAAAAATATCAGCCAAAAGGGTAGAAGAGTAGAGGCCAAAAAATGAAATGTGGGCACAGAGCAGCCACAGTAATGGTAGAGAAGGAGGGGAAGGCAGAGTCAGGTATCAGATTAATCAGGGGCCAGGCTGTTTGCCAGATACTGCATTAGTGAGTGCTGCTCAGAGACTTCCCTTTCACTGTTTTCCTGGCTGATTGAAGTGGTCATCCATCAAGTATCTGAATCCAACCCGTGTTATCAAAGCACCTTCTATTTCTGCCATTCTGTAGGGTAAAAAAGAGTCTATAGCTCTCCCATGTCCATAAAAATGATACTGTACCTTCTTGCACCAGCCAAAATTTGACGGGCCAGTAGTCAGTTTCATCAGATGGTATAAAAATAAATTAAGCACTTAAAGGAAAAAATAGTATTGCAGTTCTCTATGTTGCCTGATAATTAAAAGCAAAATATTTAGGCATTGTTTTTAGAAGCAGTCTGACCTGAATCAAGGCCATTGCCACCATTCAATGTTTTTAGAAATATTTTGTTCCAAAAAAAAAGGATTAGTATATTTTAATAAGATATGTAAATATGCCACACAGTAAATATGATTTTGGTGAAGTTGGAGTAGGAGAACTTCAGTTATATAAACTATGAAAGAATCTAGATTCAGTGAGCAGTATGTGCACACACATGTATATAGACCCAATTCATGTTAGTTTAACTGAGAGTTGAAACATTCTCTGAAGTGCTACCTGATGAGTTCTGCAACTTCAGTCTACTTTAGGACAATAAAGTAGAAATTTCTCAGAAAGGGACACCGTTGAGTTGAGTGAAAGATTACTATGCATTGATAGTGGGATAGAAAAAGAGGTGAGATTCATCAGCAGATGCTCCTGTGCCTCCTGGTCTTGCATAGAAGATATTGCTGGTGGTGTTGCATAAGTCACTGTTTGTTGGAAGTACAAATAGCACAGATTCTTGTTACCAGTTAGACTAACAAAGTGACTTTAAGTAAACTCGGCAAGCACAGAAAGGCCAGAATATTCCAGTAGCAGGTGGAGATTTGGCCTTCTTCACAGTTCACTTCAAGCAGGTCCAGCCCAATTACATCTCTTCTGGAAATCTTATCACTTTTTCACTCTTGTTCAAAACATTCATGGTTAACCCTTCTTACTTAAACTATTTTTTTTTCTTACAAGATACAGTAGCACACAAATTTAGAGCTGTAGTAGTACCCAAATACACTACCTGCCATGCTGTGATTTTGAAATTGTATCTCTGGTGTTTCCCAACATGAATACTGTCTGTGGTACTGTTTATGACTTTTTTGTTTTATAGGTGGGAGACAGCTTTGTTTTCTCTTGCTTCTGTGGGGTTTCTTTGGTATATTTTTCAAAATCTTTTTTGGTATTAATTTATAGCAATTCTTTAGTTTTTCTCCCTGTAAAGTGGGCTTTAGAAGAGAGAAATTTTTTTTTTAGTTTGGTATCAATTCCAGAAGAATGAAGATGGTTTCTTTGAGGTAAGTGAAAAATAGACAGATACATTTGGAATGCTCTCCAAATAAAAATGCAGGCTTATTCCCTAAATACAAGAAGGACTACAAAATTGGAAATTAATTAATTCTTAATCCAGTTAACCTGACTGGTTTTATTTTGTTCCTATTTGTTCTTTAGGTATGAACAACCTAAATGTGATAATGGTGCCAGAGCTCACCCTACAAAAACAAAGGATTTGTACAAAGGGCGCCAGCTTCAAGGTCAGTGAAACTGATAAATTTATGTATTCCATGCTTTGTTCATTCACTACAGTAAATTAGAAAGCAATTCCTTGCACTATATCAAAACAAGGTATCTTTTAGATACCACTATATTGATTTGCCACTGAAAGTCTTTGACTCTGGAACAGTGTAAGTCAATACAGGTCCTGGGATCTAGTCAGAGAAAGTAAGGCTCATTTTAGTCAGTAGTTTAATAGCCATCACATTTACTTACTGAAATTATTCTTTGCTGCTCTCATATCAGGGAAATCAGCAAATATATCCAGGATAGCTTAACCTATACTTCATAATCCTTTTTCTAGCAAAATACATGGGAAATTTGCCTCCATCTTCAAATAAGTCTAAATAATGTATCCACATTACTTTTTTTCAAGAGTATCTTGGTCAGTTTACCTCACAGTAATACATTTTGAAATTATTCTTTGTTGAAGGAAAAAGCAGTGTTTATTAGAGTTTGCATTTTTTTCACACTTTTTATAATCATGTGAGAGATCTTATCTATGGATACTTGAGCTACACAGAAGTCAGTGGACTTCCTTAATTTTTGATATGGTCTTTTAGGATGCTTAAATAACTTGAGGTGTAACAGGTTTAGTGATATTGCACATTATGATAGAATTACAAGTCACTATCAGCCATTGAATCAGAAAGAAGTAAATAATATGTGCAGATCTTTCATGTAATGAAAAATAATCTAGTTTGGTCACCCAAAGAAACATTCAGATGATTATCAGCCAATAAGTCTCAACTTATGACCATCAGCATTGAAATGCATATTGAGTGAACACACAATGCTCTATGACATGAAATAAATTTAATTACAAGGTATAATAAAAAAAAATACTAGATATAACTCTATGTTGTGTTCTATATAGAAGCTAATCAAAAGACCTAGTTGGAGATTCCCTGCTCATTGCAGTGGGGCTTGACAAGATGACCTTCAAGGGTCCCTTCCAACCCAAATTATTCTGTGCTATTTGCAACTCCATGGAAACCAGTGGAAAGTTAGCCATCTTCAACAAATTATTTCACACAACACTTGCATGGATACACACTTGGATGGTTACTTGATTTTATGGAGTTTTCTTTCTGAATGAAAAGAACTTGACTCAGAAGATATAGCAGAGCAGAAGTTGAAGAAACAAGTATTGAAGTTAAAGATACCACTTACTGGTCATTCCTACCTTTTGCTAAATATTTTGAAAAGCATTTGCTAGATGGAATCTAAGAGAGAGAATGGGCAGGTGAAGGTTTTTAAGATTGCATATATCTATTTTTTTGATCTAAACTGCTAGTTCTTTCACACAGTACAGTAATAAAGATTTATCCAAAATCAAGATACTTTTCCAGTGAAACTGTTAACAAGGATTTTCAGTGCTGCAAGCTCCTACTTGAAAAATTAATCTTCATTAAGTTAGGAAATGGTATATGGATTTTCCCTTTTTTTTTTACATTATGATATTTTGCATTATGTGAACTTTAGTCCAAAAATCTACTACAGCAATGCAAGCTATAATTATTATAATTTATTTGTATGACATATATTTGCTCTCTCTCAGGTTGTTTAATCTTTGACTTTCAAATGCCTGGTTTTATTTTAAAATAAGGCAAATACCAATATTTCTTAAATACTTATAGGTTAGCTAGAAGAATCTCCTATTCTGCAGCAGCATGGAATGAGTACATGTCTGTAGAAGTAATTGGGGGAAGAGGCTACTTCCCAGTTGCAGTTGTGTTAAGATTTTTTTTTTTTCATTCTCTCCCTGCAAGGCTAAATGCACAAGTGCATTTGGCAGTAAATGGCAAATTTATTTCATATTAGGAAAGCATTACATCAAGTGAAATGAATTGAATTTACTGTAGACAATTTTTTTAAAAAAGGAGGTTGAAAGCTGATCTTGTACAAGTATTTCTAGTTGCTAACAAGTAACACAAAGTTGTGTAAATAGCTAATATGAATCAACTTTTTAATAGCAATGAATCACTGTTATTCTTTTTTTCTATTGTAAGCATCCTTGCAAAGGCATGTTCGTATCTGTGTTGTCTAAATTTAAATATAGCATATAATTGCTGAGTGGTGCCAGGACTGAATAAAGAAAAAAACTAGGTTAATTGGAGTCTTACTTTTAAGGAATAATGCATTTCTGAAGGGATGGGTTTGCTTGATTTGTTGATTATAGCCACAAAAATGCAGTAGCCCTTGGTGAAACCACTCTGACTACCTGCTATGTAAAACCAGGAAGATCTTAAAATTAATTACTTTGCTGCTATGAATGATCTTAAATCCTCAAGTGGATTAAATTGGCTTGGTTCTGCAACTGCACTGGTTTATACCACCTGAAAATTTGAACTCATTATATGTTAAGCCAAATATTTTTTGCAATAATTTGTAAGTAAATCAAGATACAGTTTTGGCAAGCACTGATACCTTGTTAAGGCAAAATTGTGGCAGATAAGTGTCCTTTGGAGTTTACAGCAAAATTCCCACTAATTTAAACTTAGCTATGACTATGTCTTCACATCCTAAGGTAACCTAATATAAAGCATCTGAAGTTGAAGGCTAGTCTAATATTTGTAGGGATGTTCCAAGCCACCTGTATCTCTTAGTTTGGGCTGGAAGTTATATAATAATAATAATAATTCTTCCCATTACATTTCTAGTCCTTTTTAAAGCCAAAGCATTTTTCTGAGGTTACGTGTGGTTGTGATCCTTCTCAGAAACTGGTAATTCTGAGATAATGAAATTGAACTCAAAAAGGAGTATAGAGAATTTCACATACTATGGAAACAAAAGGGTTTTTTATTTTTCTCACAGTCAGAGTTTTCAAACATTTGTATTTTGACCTTTTGTTCTCTTCTGTGTTATACAGAAAATGGAAGCTCTCTGATGTAAAGCCTTGAATAGTTTTTTCCATACTTTGAATTACTGGTGTGTTAAAGAGGAATTCACTTTTCTCCATAAGCTGATCAAGAGCATTTAAAAGGGTTTAGCCTGAAGGCTAGTTAAGCTAAACATATAGTATGATGAAATGAGGTGTAGGTGCCCTTATAAGCTTCCTGTTCATAAAGGTAGTCTTGCCTTTGCTCTAAGCAACCTGGAAGAAAAGGAACTTGGTGTGTAAGAGAGCAAGACATGATAGCATACTGAGACAGTGCCAGACTTCTCAGATAATTTATCTCCTGGGTAAATCCTTTTCTTATTTAAGAAGTATGCATTGAAAGCAAGAAGTCTCTGTTAGCCTCTGCTGTGTGTGAGGGCTGGATAAACTTTGGATAGTACTTTATATGATCGAAGATTTTTGTATTCTTACCTGACTTGGGAATTTATCTTATTTTCCTGTAATATGATTTTCATTACCCGGACCTGAAATTTGAAAAGTAGATGGTAAAATTTTTAAAGTATTCAAGGGAACGTAATTTTGCTCACATAATATTTTTTAATTAGAAGTACCCTTATCTTTTGTGCAGAAAAAAAACCCCAAAACTAATAAATGAGTAAATGGCACATACGTTTTAGCAAGGGACACAATGTCAAGCTGGATTTTCAGACTTTACTCAATTGCTATGGTTTTGTCAATTTAAGTCAGACCACTAATTTTTTTAACATATTATTTTGTTTTTTTTTAAGTTTCTCCATTTCATTGACACAATGTGGAGTTTTTTGGAAGTTCCTACAGTTGTGATATTTTGTTTTATATAAAAGGATAATTTGAGAGGGGAAAGTATAGTTTGGAAATGACAGTGCCTTGAACAGCAATACAGTATAATGACTTGGGTCAATGTGCAGATGTAGTAAATCAATCTACTAGAAGTCTTGAAAGTCTCCCTTTTTATTGAAAGTCTCCCTATTTTATTTTCTCTAAAATAGCATAGCTCTTCACTGTTGATTATTTTGTTTTACTGAGATGCTAATCTCAGTTTGTCTTGCTGGAAGTAGAATGCATCCATTGCACTCAAGTTTCTGTAGGTTTTACTGGTGACGTAAGATCAGCATTTCACTCTTATTTCTGTCCTTACTGGCAATGCCTCACTTCAGTTTATTATCATTACAATTTTTGACTCTAGACCATTTCTCATAAAAAGATGAGTGTTTCAGGGTTTTGATAGCACTAAGTTAAGGAGCATCTGAAGGTTTTTATTGTCCAGGTTTTTATTGTCCACTAGTATATTTGGTGGTGCAAGAAGGATCCAAATTAGTTTTGCACAGCCTCTATGAGACAGATTTCAAATTCTCTTTGCCCCCTTTTCCTCACAACCCTTTCTGTGAGACAGATTTCAAATTCTCTGTGCCCCCTTTTCCTCACAACCCTTTTTCCCACAATCCAAATCCAAAATTCAGTGCTTTCCATCCAGAGCCTAAGCTCTGTTAGTCATGGTGGTGGTGCTCTGATTGTCTACAGTTTAAGTCAAACTTAGAACATTATGACTCAATTGAAATGTCTTGACAAAGGTCCCTTGTATAGCTAATCAACTTAATAAAAAAACCAAAATGAATCCCTTAAAACTCTTCCTTAAATATAAACTAGAGGTTGTTTTCTAATTCCATAGCCTACTACTGACTCAGCTCTTGTTTTGAACTATGGGTGTTCTTAAGCTAGTTTAACCTTGGCATTCAAGTAGTTAATATTTTCTCCTGAAAATCATACATGAGAGGAGTTTAACTCATCTGTTTATTTAATTTTTGTGTTACTTAAGAGAAACAAAAATATTCTAACTGCCCAATTTTCTTCCTATTGTAATGGCTTTATCGACTGTGTTTCTGATGGGATAATCCTGCACTGACCCTGAACAGTTTATGTTTTGTGGGGTGAAACTCATGATTTAAGGTACCGGGGAATTATGTGTGGATAAGTACAGTTTACTTTTGGTTGTTGGCAGTGTATCTTTTTCCAAAGTTAAAGGGAAATAGTCGGAAGCACTCAAACCACAATGATGCAACACCCAGAGCCAAACAGCCATCATATGAAGTGTCTCACTTC